ATTTCGTACAGTAAAGTTGATTGAGGTTTTTACATAGAAGCATACCCCTCCGCCAGATTTTGTAAGTCTATCGCGGCGAATTATTCGTATCCCGAAATATGAACTTCATGATCTCGAATACTCTCGTTCAGTTTCGTTTCATTTATGGAAACAATATCGATATCATTGTTTGCTAATAGGATTCTTAGCTCGTCTATATGTGTTGTTAATTGATTAATATTGAGTGATGCCATTTTAAAACCGCGCAAAGGAGGCAATAGTGAGATAGATTTTTCGGCTCTTTGGTTGCTTAAAACACATAATCTCATTCTATGTGCGATTAAAATTATTATAAAACTGCTCATTACCTTTAAAATTTAAGTGCAGTCCACCTTTGTTGAGTCCGCTATGAGATATGTTCTCATGATGGATTAATTTCCATCCATTTTGATGGCAGAACTTCTTTAGATGCTTGTTGGCTGTTTTCACTGCCTGGTCAAGCTTATCTTTTCTGCATACAAGCTCCGACAGCGTGACGATAGTATCGCAGGTGCCCTCGATCTGCCTCGCGAGATCCACAATCGATTCCGCAACAGCCTTTGGTTCCCTGGTTTTAAGATCATTAGTTCCAATGTGTAAAATCACTTCGTTGGGCAAAGGTTCTAGATTTGGCTTGAGCTAGTGATTCATGGCCATTGTCGTAGCGCCCGAGAAAGGCTTGACTATAACCCTATGGCCGACTGCTTTTCCCAGATCTTTTCCAGGTATTCTTGAGATCATCGAATCTCCTATGAGCAGGGTTGTGCGCTCTTTTGGTTGTTTTTCGGGTTCGAATTCTTTTCCTGTCAGGGTGTTGTTGGAAGCTCCTTTGTTTTTCGATTTCTTTCTCTTTTTCTTTGATTTCACAATGAAGCCTTGTTCTTTGTTGGCGCAAGGTGTTGACTCATCCATACTTTGGACAATGGTATGTTCATTAAAGGTGTTATTCGTTGAACGGCATTGAGTAGCTGCTTCTCTGGATACGATTTGCAATGCAAAACTTAAAGAATCGCGTTCTTGGCCTACTCTTTTATTTTCTTCCTTCAAATATATAATTATATCCCGAAGTCGAGAATTTTCGGATCTCAGGTCTTCCTCTTTAGGTTTCTCTTTTATATGAGCCCATAAGTTCAGCACTTCAGATTTTAGACAGTCCAACTCCTCTTGTACTGATTTGGCGTTCTAGTTAAATGTCAGAGTAGAAGCTTCTTCTTCATTCACGAGAATAACCGAGTCGTCATCAACCGGTAACTGGAGTAGCTTCTTCAGTTTGGCTTTCATTGCCTTTGCTTCCGGACCTTGGACTTGAAGGGTGCCGGTACTGTTAAATAAAACCAACGTTATTGTCTTCGACTTCAAAGAACTAGACCTTTCAGAGGGACTCGCGGTTGCAGAAACTTCCAAATTCAGGACATTCGAACAAAATTCCTGAAGTTGTGGTAGGCTTCCTTTCCACTTGAATAGACTTTGTTTGTCGTCCCAATGTAGGTATTGGTTTAAGGGAGTTAAAGAAGGTTCAGTGCCAACAAATTCGACGGAATTCGCGGAGCCCTCAGATACACGTCCGCACGCCATTACAGCATGTGGTAATGTGGTCACTCAGAGAAAACCTGAGTTTGAATATAATTTTTCTCACTTGTAAAAGCGAGGGGAATGTCAATATGTGATGCTTACAGCTGAGCGATAGACACTTGCGGCAAGCTGGGCCGTGCATTTAAAAGATGCATGGTGACACGTTTCCAGCAAACTTCGAGAATAGGAATGTCGATACGTGCTGCCTAAGAAAAAGGATGACGGAAAAGACGATGAAAAATTTTAAGCCTGGTGATTTAGGTGAAGGAAAATGTTATTCGATGAATGATACGGACATATTCAAGGAGATAAAAATTCAGAGTGCTCCCAATAAAAGTCGAACCAACGACCTTTGGATTAGTTTACCACTGCGGTATACCACTGAGCAATGGGAAACTCGTTGCAAAATGGGCCGGCGTCTAATTAGGTTCATGATGACAAATTTCCCGCCAACTGCGAGTATAGGAATGTCGATATGTGGTGCCTAGTGTAATAATGATACGAATGAAGAAGGAAATATTGAAGCCTGGAAATCTGAGCTAAAGAAATTGTTATTCAGTGAATGAAACAGGCATACTCGGAAGAAAGACTTCCGACTGCTAACAGTAGGCCTCGAAACATATGATCTGCCATTAGTACTTCGAACGCTGTAATACTAAGCTGTAAGGTACTTGTGCTAAGCTAGGCCGTTTGACTAGGTCTGTAGTGACAACTGTCTTGCATACTGCAAGGATAAGAATGTCGATACGTCGGAGAAAATATTGAGGCCTGGTGATTTGAGTGAAGGACGTTATTCAGAGAACGAAATAGACATATTCAAAGAGAAAAAAAAATTCAGTGAGCTCCCAAAAGGTGTCGATTAGTACTTGGGACACTGAATTAGTCGTATCACTGAGCTGTGAGGAACGTGTGCCAAATTAGGCCATTTAACTAAGTCTATAGTGTTAAATTACCTGCGTACTGCGAGGATAGTATGTCGATCTATGGTGGTTATCGGCAATGACGATGCCAGTGACGATGAAAATTTTTAAGCCTGGTGGTCTTTCAAAGAAGATTTAATTCAGTGCACGACAAAGGCCTACTCAGAAAAAAATAACGATGCAGAGTGCTCTCAAAAGGACTCGAACATATTAGTATTTCTGACGCTTTGACATGAGCTATAGAAGATTCGCACCATGATAGTGCATTTAACAAGGTCCATGGTGACAAATTTCCTGCATACTCCCAGGACAAGCGCAATGACGAAGTTAATGGAGATGGTTAATAGATGATGATGGTATGTTTGAATCGGGGTGAATTAAGGGATGGAACAAGGTCTTCAACCGCCTCGAGGATATCTACAGAAAATTTTCACTTTTGATTGCATTAAACAAGTGCGGTGATTTTTTACTAGGCGACTTGACTTGAGACAGGTGGTTTTAATGAGTCACTACAATACGGATAACGAGAATTATTTTTGAACTTCCGAACTTTTGGCTCAATGCGCTCGTCGAGGGTCAGGTCTTTTCTCGAGTGCATTAACGGAGAGTGATCTCACTAGTGCGTACTTACACTACCCACTTTACTAATGCAGCGAAATTGTCTTTCCGATTATTTTCTTGATCACTTACGAGCTTTACCGCCTTGCGTCGGCAAAAGTCCCTCAGTCCTGCTGTTGTCCTTTCGTTACTTTAGTATCTTGAGTCTTTAAATATTCTTTCCTGTTTCAGTGGTACGCTATTATCTTGTGCTCTATTCGTTTATTTTGTTAGGTAATCGTTGGTCTGTCGTGCTCTTTATGTTTGTTACGTTAGTATCTCGTGCACTTTTGATTTAATTTTATAAAATAATTCAAATGGTGCGCGCGCTCTGATTGACCATAAAACCATTTTACATGAGCGTATGTAAACACGGTTTTCATGCTGAATCTTCTCGCGGAGTTCTCCCTACTATTTATTTAGCAGTAACTCAGTTTCTTTAAGTTTGTTTTGAGTACAGTAATGGAAGAAGAAGATTTTCCTAATTTTTCTTTGGAGTTTAATTTTCCCAGTATTCAAGAAACGGCCGAAAAGCCAAATGAACAACAACAACAAGCACGTTGCTTTCCTTCGTTGCAAGAAGAGGCTCTTGATGAAATTATAACTGGTTCGGAAGCGAAAAGAACCAAATATGCCACTCTGAACAGGGTAAAAACGTTTAAAGGTAAAGTATTTTTACCGTTTTACAAGGAAAACTTGAGATAGTACTGATTGCAAACCCCAGTAAAATTTACAGTACTAATATTTGCAACTCGTTCATGTACGTAAATCAGTATAAACACAGATAGTATAACAAACTTTTGAACGTGTTTATAAAACAACAAACAATTGAAATAAAAGAAAACAATAAAATTAAAATTCTATCGCCATTTTTATTCAAGATTGGGCGACTGAAAGGCAGTTTTAAAGCCACTAGAAACCATGACTCCATCTGAGCTTGACTCACACTTGCGGAAATTTTACGCTGAAGCAAGAACAAAGAAAGGGGAAGACTACAGCCGTTCTTCGCTTCACGGCTTCAGAAACGTAATTGAGCGCTACCTCAACAACGCTCCCTTCAAACGAGGAATAAAAATGCCAGGAAACCCGGTCTTTCAGAGTTCTAACAAAATATTAGACGCAAAAATAAAAATGCTGGAAAAAGAAGGGAAAGAAAACATTACTCACAAGCCCGCTATAGCTCCTGAATATCTAACAAAATTGAAAACCTCAAGTGTTTTCCTCCCGTCAACTCCGCTTGGACTTTTGAGAAATGTATGGTTTCACACCACTCTTTATTGGTGTCGCCGAGGTCGAGAAGGTCAGCGCTCTTTAACTCCGCAAAGCTTTAGTTTTTGATAAAGATGCAAGAGGCAAAGCATATTTTACAATGACCCATGACGAGAGCACCAAAAACCACCAAGGAGGAGTTGCCGACAACACAACTTATGAAAAAGATGGGCGAATGTATGAAACTAAACAAGCAGGCGATGGATATTCTGCAATGAAGCTTTATTTGGAAAAAATTAATCCAGGATGCCAAGCTTTCTTTCAGTTTCCGAAAAGAGATTGGCAAGCAAGTGACAACGTTTGGTACGAAAATCGCCCACTCGGCGTCAACAAACTCGGCAACATGATGCGCGAGATCAGTCAAGAAGGCCAACTTTCACGTATTTACACCAACCATTCTCTGCGAGCAACTGCAATAACTTTGTGGTCGCAAGCTGGCATTTCAAGCCGTCAAATCATAGCAATTTCGGGACACCGAAATGAGCAAAGCCTCAAGCATTATAACGATCGTTCATCTGAAA